TTTTGTTCGTCCCACAAGTTGTATGGGTGTAACATACCATTATCTCTATTTTAGTTGCTTGTAACTATGGTTAGCTATGATACCATTAGAGTCGATATACAGAGACTTTATGCACAGTACATGATTGTTAGACACTTAGCCTTATTAGAGTTATGTGTAACTGAGGTTACATTCCTAGTTATGAGTACGGCACCAATTGAGATATGGTAGCAATATGTGAGTTGCAGCAGAGAGTTGTGGGTAGGTATTAGAATGATGGAGCACAGAAATTTTATGGTATTGACGATGTTGCCTGAGAAAGTAATGCGTGAGCACGTTTGAGGCTTGTTCAGACGATGTATGTGTATTTCTCCAATGAGAGACAAGATGGTAATATTGCACCCTTGTCCGATTACATTTAGTCATTTACTTATTGATGGGCTTAACCCAATGTTATTATACAATTACCTTCAGAGTAGGTAAAGCTACAAGTGTGTGGGTGAAAACTTTCAATGTTCCATTTTGATTTAAATATATCTAATTTGACTTGATGTTTTCGTAAAGGATTTTATATTGTAGTATTGTTTCGAAAGAGAATGAAAGTTTGAGTTGGAGGCATGAAAGAGGAATCACTACACTCTGATCGCGACGGAATGACATTCTCTTTTATGCAATCGCTCTAGCTTGATTTCCTCCTTCCGTGTATGTGTGTGTGTGTATATATATATATATATTTTTTCCTATCTTTTAGAGTACATTACGTTTAGCTAATGATGTCAAATTTTGGGGTCAAAATTTTTATAAGGTGGGTAGATTGTGACAACCCGTCCTAATAAATTTAAAAAGAATGAATTTACAAAAATGCCCTAGAGGTGAAGGTTTCTTTCATTGACCAACGTGTAGAGAAACGTATAACTTATTCACTTAGCGTATTTGTGTAGTACTCGTTGGTACGAACACATAGGTGAAAGCCGTTTGCGAGTCCATATTATATCGATATAGTTACGGACGTTTGAAGTTGTAAAACTATAGATTGTGGGAATTATTTAATTTCCGCATGTGGGTTAAAGGTTAAATTAGTTAAAATAAAAGGGACCAATCATATTTTTAGAGAAAAAAAAAGAAAAAAAAGGGCATTGGATGCCCAATCTGAGAGGGAGACGAGCAACGAACCAGGAGAAAAAGAAGGAGAGTCTGATCAATCAGGAAGGAGAATAGAAAGGAAATGAGAGAAAGGGGAGGGTAGCAAACCAGGGCTGGATCCCCTTGACTCGTAACCCGTTTCAAAACCCGGTTTATGGAGGCCTCTTCTGTCGCCATTTCCGTCCATTTTCCGACGAGTTGGAGTTTCTCATCACCACCATTCGACTCAACGACCTTCCCTCTTCAAATTTCACACAAACTTGACGGTGGTTAGTGGAGATTTCATGACGAACTCATGTCATCTTCTCCGACGAACTCGAGGACACCCATGGCAGAATCCGCCATTTCTGAAGCAAACTCCACCAACTACCACCACCAATAGACCTCCCTCAACCCCAGGAACAAAGCCCAAGTAGTGGTTGAGGCGTCAGAGTGCATTTGGAGTTCGAATTGAAGCACAACCATTTCTAGGGTTCCGGTGGATCAAGGTGAATTTCAGCCGTTTCCCGGCCAAATTGGACTTGGCCACATGTAAACTTGCTCTAATAATTGAGATCTCCATTTCTGTGAAATTTGAGAATTTTTAGAAATAGTTGATTTTTCCGACAAGTCGGGGTGGCCGACCGCCGTGTGCGGCGGTGCGTGGCGGCGGCACGTGGGCTGAGGCATCCCCTGACCTTCCTAGGATAAATTTGATACTTCAATTTCGTATGTGAAGTCCGATTGACAAAATTCTGTCGTTTGAACCTAGTTCCATTAAGGTCCGCCACTTGAATATTATATCAATCAATGATCTAACCGTTGGATCGTCACCAAACTTTAATACATTATAGTACGTAATATTTGAGGATCATAGAAACTTACAGATCGGGAATCCGACATACGGATCTTCTCGAATTGGATTTGTAAGTTCATAAAATAAAATGATGACCGCCACTTGGTTTTGGCAATTGAAGGAGATCTGACCGTTGGATCATAATGGAACATTAGGATGTGGTTCTAGGAACATAATGTGAATCTTGGGAAGTAACGGATCGGAAATCCGTGATGCTGATCTTCCGAAGTGAATTACGTAATGTTGTGTTTTATGTAAATTATGTATTCTATCGGTAAGAACTCTGAGACGTGATTTGATAATTGTTCTAGATGACATTGGTTCGTGATGTCTCGATATGCGTGATAGGGAGTCATAGCGTTGACCTCAGGTGAGTGGGTCTTTTCCTTTCTATCGTGTGTGTATATATATATTATATGATTGATAATTCCACAAACGTTTATAACTTGATTATTGCTTACGATTACTGTGTATGCTTTGAAGTAATTATTGTGAACTACGAATGGCTTGATCCATGTTTAGGGTACGTAAGCAGTCTAACGAGACGTTAGATGCAACCATACAATAAATGAGACTAAATAATTGAGACAACAGCTTTGTTTGGGAAATTGGGCAATATGAAGGAGATTGGTGGAAAATGTGAGATTTAACTTTATGATTTGGTGGTTAAATGTTGTTCATAAATCAATGTGTGAAGAACCAAGAAATTGAAGTAAGGAAACATAAATAATGATAGTTAATTAAACTAGTGTCTAATTGGGCTTATCACCGATAATTATTCCCGAAAATAAATAATTCAGAAGTAGGGTGTTACAACTTATGCATTTTACGCCATATTATATATATATATATATGTGTGTGTGTGTGTATGTATGCATATAATTGAAAATGCTATGACATAGTTGAGTATTAGATTGCATCATGGTATATCCATATGTATATTACTTGCACATAATTATTATGAACGCTTTGAAGTGCAAAGGTGAACGCTGGAGACCCAAGTAAGTTCAAGTGAGTTTATGGTACTAGTTGAAATGATGAAGTTATGGTTGACTATATGTAAGTTTTAGGCAACTCCGACCTTGTCGTACAAGTTGCAATGATAGGCAACTCCGACACTATCGTACAGGTTGTCCATGAGTTGTACATGTTATAATAGATGCAGTTAGAGCTCATTATCCTGCACCTCGGTGTTAGTGCTTCGCCCGTGGCCAGGGCCTAACCTTCACGTGATCGTTCACCTCCTACACCACACGCTCACCTTGGATACAAGGCATGTGCTAGCCTATCGTACAGACCACATTAGGTGGTTCTGACTTATAGGTGACTTGCGATACTTCGCACAGCCTTCACATGATCATAGCTCTTGAGCGTATTTATTTACACCCAGCCTGTTGTACAGACCACCTTAGGTGGTTCCGACTCGTGTGCAGGGATATGTGATGAACTATGGGTTCAGCCATGCAGGCCACAAGAGGTGGATCCGACTGACATATTACAGGGAATGTGATGAGATATGGATAAGTCGTACATGTCACTATAGGTGACTCCGACTTATGTGCTAGCATTGATTGATGAGATATGGATAAGTCGTACAGGTCACTATAGGTGATTCCGACTTGTGTGCTAGTATGGGTTAGTAAGCACATGATTATTTATATTGCTAATTAGATGCTGGGTAGTGGTATACTTCTGGATTTACTGTTAGTATACATTTGATTTCATACTTCTACGTAGTAAAATTTTCTGGAGACTATACAGGTTTTACGGCGAGGGGTTACTACCTTTGATAATTGAAATGATTTTGAAAATCTTTGTTTACCCACTCACACTTTCTATTTTGCACCCCTCCAGCTTTTAGTATCAAAGTTCCGTATCGACGAGGTCTTGTGGCACTCCCAGTTCAAGTGGCTCCTTATGATGGTATAATTATTATCTTACCTCACTGTACTTTTCTTATGTTCTGTATCATGTGTGAAATGGGTCCATACCCGCTCACCGCACACTTGTGTGTATAGGCACTTTTAGTTTTGAATTTATTCACATTTTACACATTATCACATTCTATGGCTTCGTCACCTTCCAGGTGTTGGCCAGCACAGCTCGATTCGGAGTTCTAGTGGACATTCCGGGTCGGGGTGTGTCATCGATCCTTAGGGTTCAATCTGTTCTCGTTGGTATCAATTTGTTTGCCTTTGTCGTCGTTCGTTTTAGATTTGTTAGTTGGTATTGATTGTTTGCAAGGAAAAAGTCAATATGACTGATCTACCACACCATTGCTATTTAGTTGTGTGTGATGTTGCACATGTTCGCCCAGAAGAAGAGAGAAAAAAGAAGGAAAAAGAAAAAAATTGTTTGGAGTTTTTGAGGCCCCCACACAGGCAAAGAACAAATATGTTTTTTTGTTTGTTTGCTCAGGTTTGTTTGGAAGCTCGCAATTGGCATCGGTATTAGTATTGGCATTGACATTGGAATTGGCATTGGTACTGGCACTAGAATTTGGAGTCTTACATCCACATATATTTTGGCAAACTCATGTCATGTACCGCCATGAGTTTGACAGGGAGTGTTCGAAAATATTAGTATTTAGGTTTATTTTAGTATTTGGGTTTTGCTTGTTAGTTTAGGATTTGGGCCTAGCCCATCTGAGTTAGGGTTTCTTAGATTTAGTTCTCTATAAATATTGCTTCTAATTTAGTTTGAGAAATAAGTCATTCACAATGTAGTCTCCTAGGGTTTTGTAGCCGTTTCGGCATTCTCAGTTAGTTTAATAATATTCTTATTATTTTGTTAGTCTTGTTCGTTCTGCACTCTGATATTCAACTGGTGTGAGTAACGCATTTACGATTAACCATCTATTTATTTGATGCAATGGAATATTAAGCGATATTCAAATAAAATATTCATTTACGATGATTTTAAAATAAAGATGAAGAAATTGAAAGGTTCCGATTATGAAATTTATACGTGAAGATATGTTATTCTCAAGGGATGAGATATGTGCATTCCTATTAGGATGCAAATTTTAAAATGCATCATCTCCTATTAAAACATTCTTGAAGCAGAAGTACATTGCTCACATACATTGCACACAAACATAAGATCACACAAGTTCACAACTGCATATGTTGCAAGTAAAAGTGTAACATATCTCTCTGTAAAACTCCCAAAAAAAAGTTCTAAATGCTTCGTCCAAATCTCCCAAAACCCCCACAAAACCCTCTAAACCAGCAAAGCTTTGAACAAAACTACAGAGACGTCTGCAACCTCCTCCTCTCCCTAACCCACTCAAGGTCCCTCCCAAAGGGTCTGCAACTCCATTCCCATGTCCTCAAATCTGGCCTCCAAACCATCCCTCTCATCTCCCACCACCTCATCAACTTCTACTCCAAGAACCAGCTCCCCCTTCATTCCCGCCAAATTTTTGAAGAAGCCTCACGAAAGTCATCAACTACTTGGAGCTCCGTCATCTCCTCATTTGCCCAGAACGAGCTTCCGGTCCTCGCCATTGAGTACTTTCGTCGAATGCTTGGCGCGCAACTGCGTCCTGATGACCATATATACCCGAGCGTCGCCAAGTCCTGCGCGATTTTGAATCGGCTCGATGTTGGGCAGTCTGTGCATTGCCTTGCGGTGAAGACTGGGTACGAGTTTGATGTGTTTGTGGGAAGTTCTGTGGTCGATATGTATGCGAAATGCGGAGAGATAAGGGATGCTCGGAAGGTGTTTGACGAAATTCCTGAGAAGAATGTGGTTTCTTGGAGTGGGATGATATATGGGTATACTCAATTGGGTCAAGACGAGGAGGCTTTGAGACTATTTAAACAAGCCATGGTTGAAAATTTGGATGTCAATGACTTTACGTTTTCGAGTGTTATACGGGTTTGTGGCAATTCGACGCTTTTTGAATTGGGGAGGCAAATACATGGCTTGTGCTTCAAAACGAACTTTGATTTGTCGAGCTTTGTTGGTAGTTCTTTGGTTTCTCTGTACTCTAAGTGTGGAGTGATTGAAGGAGCTTATCGTGTTTTTGATGAGATACCCGTTAAGAATCTTGGAATGTGGAATGCAATGCTGATCGCAAGCGCCCAGCACGTGCACACGGATAACGCTCTTGATCTGTTTAAACAGATGGAAAGTGCAGGGATGAAGCCGAATTTCATTACGTTTTTGTGTGTGCTCTATGCTTGTAGTCATGCTGGGCTAGTTGAAAAGGGGCAATATTACTTTAGCCTCATGAGAGAGTATGGGATTGAGCCAGGGGAGCAGCATTATGCTACCCTAGTGGACTTGCTTGGCCGTGCTGGAAAATTGCAGGAAGCAGTTAAAATTATTGATGAAATGCCTATAGAACCAACAGAATCTATATGGGGAGCTTTATTAACGGGTTGTCGAATCCACGGTGACACTGAATTGGCAGCCTCTGTGGCTGACAGAGTCTTTGAGTTGGGTCCTGTGAGCTCTGGCCTGCATGTGCTTTTGTCTAATGCTTATGCTGCTGCCCAAAGATTTGAGGAAGCAGCAAAAGTCAGGAAGATGCTAAGAGATCGAGGTGTGAAAAAGGAAACGGGTTTGAGCTGGGTTGAGGAGGGAAACAAGATTCACACATTCGCGGCTGGGGACAGGACTCACATGAGAACTAAAGAGATTTATGAGAAGTTGGAGGAGTTAGGGGAGGAAATGGAGAAAGCTGGTTATGTTGCAGACACAAGTTTTGTGCTAAGAGAGGTAAATCGCGAAGAGAAAGATCAGACAATTAGGTATCACAGTGAAAGACTAGCTGTAGCATTTGGTCTTATAACCTTTCTGCCTGATAGACCAATTAGGATTATGAAGAACTTGCGCATTTGTGGTGACTGTCATACTGCAATTAAGTTTATGTCCAAGTGCTCAGGAAGGGTTATCATAGTGAGGGATAACAATAGGTTTCATAGGTTTGAGGATGGAAAGTGTACCTGCGGAGATTATTGGTGATTAATATGTATCAAATTCATTAACGATTAACTAAAAGATGGTCTGAATGGTCTAAAACTCCTGTTCAAGATGCTGCTGCCGGTTAATAACAAAGCGCATTAGCAGAACCTCTAGTCGATCATTCTGATGCTTTTTTCGTTGGAGAGATAGTGAGCCATTTCTGCTTGAACCATTTTATTTTTCCCCTTGTCAGTTCTAAGCACTTGCACATCCATATATGGTGGCTAATCCGGTGTTTCATGCTAGTACCAAGCATATTGAATTAGATTACCATTTTGTTCGTGAGAGGGTTAAACTTGGGGCACACAAGGTGTTCCTTGTTCCTTTTTTGGATCAACCTGTGGATATCCTAATTAAAGGGCTCTCTAAACAACGAATCCTCTTTCTTCATTCCAAACTTGTCTTATCTTGACCCAGTGGCGAAGCCATAAATCGAAGTTAGGAGGGGCTTCCAAGCCATGTGAAAGAAATTTCACAAAAAAATAACTAATGGGAGAAAAAGGTTCATTTTTTGTAGTGCAATGAAAAACTTTAATCAAAAGAGAATAATGGAGTCACGAAAAAAAAAGATTGAGATAATTATATCATAACCACCAAACTTCTTTATAAGTTCCTACATTGAAGTTGAACAAATATTAATTATCGTGACTCAAAATTGCAGCTATGACAATTGTCTTTCAAGATAAATTCTTCCTCTATTTCATATATGCATGGTTTCATTGTAAAACAACACTCTATGCAAAATGATGAACTAACTAATTTTTTTTTTTAAACAATATATTTGTTAGATTAGATGTTCGATTAGGAAGTCAACCAAGTTCGAGCACACGTCGTGGTTAGATTAGGGAGCTAATTGGGTTCGAAATCACACCGTGGTGCAATGGCAACACTCATCTCCACCACTGTGGTAGAGGGTTACTTACGAAATTTCAAAAACTTTAATCAAAAGGTTTAAAGATTTCTAGTTTGTTTGATTTTTTTGCAGAATTAATCGTTAAAGAGTGACTTAGAATTTAGAAGATGCTTTCATCAAACAACATTACAGAATAAATAAAAGTTAATACCAACCCCTTCTTATTGACATTTATTCCTCTCCAAGTCTCTTTCAACTTTCTTCTTTTTCTTGTTTTTAATTAGTTTTATGGCTCATCTTTGTGCTCATGAGTCGTTTACCTATATCTTAGGGGAAAGAAAAAAATACACAGAGATGAACGAAATTCCACAAAACATCCCAATTTCCCTCTGTTTTATTATTAATATATTTATTTTTTTATAAAAAAAAAATCTGAAATATTGGCATATTGTTAATCGAAAAATGACTTGATATTAAAAGATGGTAATGATCGTCAACATCATATAATATAATATTCCAACATCAACATCACATGATATGATATCCGACGGAGTAAACAATGCACACATTATTTTTCTTTCACATACGAATAACCAACTTCGCTTCCAAGCAGCGTGTCATCCACTCGCGCATTAGCACATTATAAATAACTAAACCAGTAAACAGCTGTAACATACTTTTCGAATGATGAACTCTAGAGAGAAAAACAAGAAAAGCAGATGATAATCATTATATAATCACATTAAAACAGTGAGATCTGCAACTTTTGTTATGCTACTAGGCATAAAATAAACAATAGAACCCAGAATTTATAAATATCCCAAAATGATTGAGAGAGAATCCAAATCCAATATCTTTTTCTTTTCCCCATCCAAATTCCACATCCCAAATCCCACATCCACATAATCTCAAATCCCACCACCATGATCGTGATTTGGAACCCCACCAAATCGCATTTCCCCATCTTAATGCTATCCTATTAACGCACTAAAACCAAAACCAGTACAACTAGCAGAGAAGATCAAATTGCAAAGGTAATTATATTCTTAGATTGCTTGGCTAAAAACGCTTTGAGTTTTGAAGATAAAAATAATTGCCTATGTTCAGCAAAAGAGCTAGAAGTGCTTATGAATCATAAAACGTCTTTTAGAGAAACACATGTCAAATCATTCTTCATAAGGCACTTGTCAGATGTTTTTTCAAGTACTTAAGGTTTGAAAAGTTTTTAGGAACAGACCGCTAGCTAAAACAGCTCATGAGCTCATTTGAAATTATTTTTAAAATGATTGAAAATGTTTTTTGAAAAAATATTTTTTAAGTTTCTAAGGCTGCATAAAATAATAAATTATTTTTCCAGAATTCACTTGTCATTTTACTAAAAATTAATTCAAAAACATTTTCACTAAAAGTAACTTTCATTTTAAAAATACTTCCAAACGAGCACTAAATCAATTATTATTTTCTACACAAACAATCACCGACGAGCCTTGACAGGATAGCGATTTTCACTCTCTCGTTCACCGCTTTTGAATTCCTTATCTTGTCTTCGTCCCTTGATCACTCTTTGATTATTTAATCTATGGCCAAAAAAACAAAACCACGGAAAATAAAGAAGGGTGCGAAAATCACTTCCCAATTAACATACTCAAGCACAGGATAAAAAGAATGATAGGTTACATAAAAACATGTAAAATATAAGCAACTGAAAACCAATAGCAGTAAAACTTGAATGTTACAATTATGGAAGGATCATAATTTCTCCATCTCCCTCTTTTTATCCCTAGCAACTGCCCCACTAGCAGCAGTTGCTGTATTACAAAATTACATCAGAATAAAGAACCATTAGAAGCAAGAACAACCTTTCCAATCCCCAAAAATGGACCAGAGCTCCAGTCCAGGCTCGTAATATGAAGAAACCTTTCTGAGACAATAATAAAATGACCCCCTCCTAATTTTTGTACTGAATTTTGACAATGAATAAAAGGAACCCAAAATATTAAACAGGCCATATGATTTTCGAGCTTCATGTTCATACAACATGTTTGCTCATCTTAGAAGAAAAAAATTTGACGATCATAATAAACCCCTAAAATTTTAAAATATTTTCGAAGAAAACGGCACCTAGACCGGGTTCCGACTTTTTCGAGTATAACCCAGAGGTATTCTTACTCTTTTCTAACTTCTGTGACAATAAATGGTGAAATGAATTTCTTCAAGTGACCTGGTAATCCATGTTTAGTTACTTTCCATGCCCACCCGCCAACAAAATCTGGAAAAAAGAAGGGCGTTGTGTTATTTAATTTGAGTCGAAAAAAGGCATTATGTTATATACTAAAACATTCTTGTTAACTACCTTTGGGATAGCCGCCACGTTGTGTCAGTTCTGCTGAGCCACGAGATCAAGATGCATTTGGTCAATCCATGCTCCCAACACAGCATGATCGACCGCCTCCCTTTGGGAGTTTGCACTTGGACCGTTGTTGGAGGAACCAGTGGCCGTAACAGCTGAGCTCGATGTTTGCTTCTCTTTGATGTCGGTAGGAGATTCTTTAACAAGTGACTGAACCCATGACAGATCTGGCTCCTCTCCATTGTTCCCAAGCTCAAAAGAAGATGATCTGCGGAGCTTACCCAATTCATCTGTAGAAACTGCCCAATCTGGTTTTCCATTGGAGGATCCCCATTTTGACCAAGAATTTGGAGAGGAACCAACAATGGATGCAGAATTGGAGCCGAGTTCCCGTGAACTTAGGCTACGAAACTGTTGTTGCTTCTCTCTTTGAGCTAGCATCGAAACTCGAGGGCCCATTGGTGAGATAGGTTCCACATTCCGTGGAGACATCCTCCCAGATGATGGGCCCCCATAAGAGGCCTGCAATAGAGCATGATCAGCAGTTTTTGGAGAAAAGGTTGTGTGGATCGGTGAAAGAATGCTCTGCTGGTGTTGAAATTGATTGAGAACAGCTGATTTATGAGTTGGGGAGAAAACACCTGATTGCAATGATTGATCAGAGTACCGGGGTGATAAGCTCTCTGCAGAGAAGATATCATCAAGATTTGAGGGGGTTAGGGTTGTCCTTCGACCAGAACGGTTCAGTGAATTATTACTCAGAGATGGTTGGGATAGGCAAGATAATTCATTTAGTAGCTGCTGTTGCTGCAGCTGCTGTTGCTGCATATCAAACTCTGGCAGTAAATCAAAATCATCCGCAGGCATATCTCTTGCGCAAAGAGAAGATCTCAAGCGACTAGACTGAAGATTGCTACCTGGCAGATGCAAGGCCGGGACATTAGGTTGGGGCCAACCCAGAGATGAGTGTGACATGCCATTGGCAGATGGAGACATGGGTGGAGTAAATGGTGAAGGAGACATAACATTGACCGATGATGGGGAACCAGGCAAGAGGCTCATTGCAGCAGCAAAATCCATGGCCGAAGCACCAGAGGTGCTCGAGCGAGGAGAAGGAACAGCAGAACCAGTAGAAACATATAATGGCCTGAGTTCCTCTGTGGTGTGGGCAAAAAAGCAGACTCTCCTTGCACAGCTTGTACCATCCTTGCAAAGTCGGGTCCGATACTGAGCTGGGTGTAGCCAGCACTCAAAAACCCCATGAGCATATTCACACATATCTCCACGTCTGCAAGCCCCCTTTCTGAAATCAGGACAAGGAACACAGCTATAATGAAATTTCCTTGGATCCCTTCTTCGTGCATTTTCCCCTGGATGGACAAAAGGGCACTCAGTCCAATCATGAGAGTATGCACGTGAACAAGGCCTCACCTTGAATGAATACATTCGGAACTCATCAGTTGAATAAATGCTGTTCTTGATGTCTGGAAGAGAGGGGTCAACAGGATATTCCTTCTTCTCTGATGCAGAAGAGAGAGAATTATAGAACTTCGACTTTGTTGGGGAACAAGTAAAATCTAAAGCAGAAGGAGACCCATTTTCTGGGGAAGCTGACAGTGGAGGAGAAGTTGAATGTATGGTTCTCGTTGACACCGTGAGAGTTTTTTCACCAGCAGTACCATTTATCACAAGGAGTTCTTCTAGAGCTAATTTGACATTTTGTAGCCTAGGAGGAACAACTATAACATCAATAGGCCGATGACCGTTAGCATCAAGCAAATTAGGATCAGCACCAGCTCCTAAAAGCAGCTTCACACAATCCACAGCATTCTCAGCCCCACCTGAAGCAGCACA